TTGGTGGCATTGCCAACAGGCCTTGGAAAAACGCTTATTGCTGCTGTTGTAATTTATAACTACTTCAGATGGTTTCCAGATGGTAACGTTTATGTCACAGGCATTTCTATAACAGTATTACTCAAATCTCATCAGAACTTATTTATGCTTTTATAGTCATTGATAATTTTTGAGGCTGATATTCGTGTTTTGATAAGTAGAGTAACAGGCTCCTTGTTTGTTTCAAATATTGTTATTGGACATGGTATATAAGCATGGCTAGATGTGTAGGAATCTGAGAAGCAATATGCTAACAATGATTATGGTATCTTTGCTTGTTCCCCTGCTGTTGTTAAGCTGCATACTATCCAGCCTGAGCAACACATTCATAATCATTTGAAGGACAAACCTTTGCTGATTAAAAGAGAGATTTAGTCATCGTGAAACTTTGCCCAGTCATTTTCCTTTTATATTGATGCTAGTTTCTTTACTTTGCATCATATGGAGGTTCTTTGTTGGCCTCTCCACTGGTTTTTTTGCCTGTTTTACAATTGATTGGAAAGGACTGTGGTATATCCTCCTCCTCTCTTGCTTTTGCTTCTCCCGTTTAAGTATGCCAGTATTCAAAATGTGTTCATAGATTATGTGATATAGGACTTTAAGTTTCTACATTCTTATACATTCTTGGACTAAGAACAGCAAAGCTTCCAACTTTGGGTTGGCACTGCTTTCTCGTGTTTCATGCACAAGTGGTTGATGATTTTACATGCAACTGAGTTATGAAAGCAATGGAAGGATTTCTTGTGGAAAAATCCCTATATTTCAATTCCTTGCTTTGTAAATTTCACAAGTTCAGTAAGGAAACTCAATTTGTGAATTATTGACATCTATTATTGATTCTGGAAGTTCTAACTGTGTGACTGATGATGTTCAGTGTTTTTTATTATTATTTTTTCTGATTCCTTTTGGCATAGCAGAAGTAAAAGTTCAATTTCTTACATTTTGCTTCATATTACTATATGGTTGATGCCCTTGTTTAAAATAGTTAAGAACTGATAACTAGTTAAATGAGAAATCTATGTTCCTATATGCTGTCTGATGTGTAGTGTTCTCTCACTAGTTTGCTATGTATTGTTTTGATATGCATTTTCCTTTAGAATGATGTATGACTTTTATTCAATTAGTTTTGCAAAATGAAACTGGATAGGTCCTCAATCTGCAGATGCTTAAGTTTAATTCTGAACAAAATCTTTGACAATAATACTACAATGTCTATTTTTGTTCTTTGACAGGGAAGATAGTTTTTGCTGCTCCTTCTCGACCGCTTGTCATGCAGCAAATAGAAGCATGCCATAATATTGTTGGAATTCCGCAAGTAAGACAGTGTGTGTGTTTATGTGTTTTTCTTTCTTCCCTTAGTGATGCAATGATTTTTTCATCCATTGGTTTTTTGGTTGTGCAGTTTCAAACTCATTGACCTATTTTGAGAACATTTAGAACAAACTGATTGCAGGAATGGACAATTGATATGACAGGTCAGATCAGTCCGACAAGAAGAGCAAGTTTTTGGAAGACTAAACGAGTTTTCTTTGTTACTCCACAAGTTCTGGAGAAGGATATTCAATCTGGTGATTCTCTAAAGTAATATCATATCATGTTACGGATGGCTAGCAGATAATTGTAACCTTGTGACTTCATGTTTCTTGCTACTGCCATTCTACTTATTGTCCTTCTAGTATCTTCTTTTGCTGGATTTCACTCATAAAGTAACATGGTGCAGGCACATGTTTGGCAAAGTACCTGGTATGTTTAGTGATTGATGAGGCTCATCGAGCATTGGGAAATTATTCCTATTGTGTGGCAGTCCGCGAGGTTGTTTCCTCTTTTCTTTCTAGAATTTTAAAGTGAATTCCTTCTCTTTGATTTGAGTACAATCTTTGTGGAAACATGTACTGAGCAAGGTCTTAAAAATGCTGTTGGTACTCTAAATTTGTAGTTAATGGCAATGCCAGTGCACCTGAGGGTATTAGCTTTGACTGCCACACCAGGATGTAAGTTACAATTGTCTTCTTGCATTCCAAAATTTTCACATAACCTTAAATGCTTACATTAAGTGCCATTATTCAGCAAAGCAGCCTGCTATCCAGAAAATAATTGACAACTTATACATATCAACACTTGAATATCGCAATGAAAGTGACCCCGATGTTAGCCCATATGTTCACAACCGAAAGATAGAACTGATTGAGGTATTTACAAGTTTGTCTCTTTTAAATATTGTTGTTTATTATTCCTAATGAATTTTAACATATTCCTTGCAATATTTGTAGGTTCCACTGGGGCAAGATGCAGCTGAGGTAAATAATCGGTTGTTAGAAGTAATTCGTCCTTACGTGGCCAGGCTTCATGCGGTTGGACTTATTCAGAACAGGGACTATCAGACTGTATGGGTTCCACATATGCTATAATATTTTGGTTCTTTTTCATTGTTCATCTGCACTGCATCTTAGCTTAATCAAAGTTTTCAGTCTAAATATTTGCTTGGGTGTACTTGATAGAAATTTGGAAACTTCCAGCTTGCTGTCAAATGGAAAAAGGCTAAAAACTGCCATTCTATGAAAATTTCATTGAATTTAAAAACATAATTTTTCACTTTTTGAGGCAACGTTAAAACTATTTGGGACTAGAAGCAAGGGAAAATGGTTGATGCTAAATGCTGATGGCACCTGAGGTTCCTAGAGCTGCAACCATCTTTTGAGGACTAGAATATTGCAAGTATATGTTGGCTTCTTTTTATAGCATTGCTCAGATATAATTTCTGTGAATTTTCTGCAATTTCTAACTTTGCCTGAATTTGAAACATCTCATTGTCTATCACTCTGATTTCCTACTATTGTGGGGGGGTATTCCTATTATTTTTACATCTAATTTACATTGGCCTTTCACAGTTAAGTCCGGTTGATTTACTTAATTCAAGGGATAAATTTCGTCAAGCACCTCCCCCAGATCTTCCACATGTAAAGCATGGAGAAGTTGAAGCATCCTTTGCAGTTCTTATCACACTTTACCACATTCGTAAGCTACTTTCAAGCCATGGAATAAGACCTGCATATGAGATGCTGGAGGAAAAGTTGCGACAAGGGTATGTATTTATCACCTTCATTTCAGCAATGTGAAGAAATTGCCTGCATATTTTAATCATAAGAGAACCATTATCTTGAACTCTTTATACTATATTCTCTTTAGTAAAATGCTGCTGAAGTTGTAACTAAAACACAATTCAAACTAAACAAATATTATCTGTTTCCTTGTGAACCAAAAATTGCTTTCTGATTAGAGGCAATGTTGCTAGCCTTTTTCAGATAAATACAGATAAGTAGGATTTGCTTGCAGATAATATGAATACTATTTTAAGATATAACTTTTTAATGTTTTTTAATTTTTTTTAAAGGCCACAAGTTTCATCAGCGAATGGTAGACAGCAGAAATGGAGTGGTGATTTGTTACTGAATCTGCTAATTGTTGTTTGAGTTGAACCACAGACATATGGATGCACAAACACACACATGTTATCTGCAATTGAATGTACTTTTATGTCCACTGTTTTATATGTTGATCACAACACCTTTCAACATTGTATTACGCGTTCACACTTGATTGTTGCAGGCCATTTTCAAGATTGATGCGTAAAAATGAAGACATAATGAATGCAAAGCTTTTAATGCAACGGAGTTTGTCTCATGGCGCACCAAGTCCGAAATTGTCAAAAATGTTAGAAGTACTGGTTGACCATTTCCGTATGTCATCTGCCATTTAAATAATAATCCTGCATGTGGGGGTTTTGATTTGCGTCTCCTTTCTGAATCTTACTGCAACTAACACTAGCATATTTCTTAGGATGCTAGAAACTTGAATCTCGAATCGTCATAACTGCTATATTGGAATCTTTTAAGGTGTTGTGCTGCTGCTTATGAGTTATGAGAGAATAAAGCTTTAAAAATGAACTCTAGTTTGTTTTGACTTTCTTCTTTAAGGAAAAAAATAAATAAATTCCCTTAGTTTAAGACTCAAAGGATTATATGTATTTGTCAAATTGGTGATGGATACTCTTGCTCATTTTGATACGTTATTGATGGTTCACGTATATCCTTTAAGTTTTATTATCTCAACTCTGTAATTGGGAAACGAGCATTGGAAAAGGATAGAGAAAAAAATGAGGCAGGTTGGTTGTGAGAAGTCTGCCTTCTTTGGGTTTATTGTGGGCTAGGGTTACAAATAAGGATTTTAGGCGTATGGCTTGGGTAGGATAAGGTGTAGTTAGAGTTTGATATGAGAACAGAGCTCAAAAAGAGGGCTGGAATCTAAAGGGAAGGTTGTTGGAATTTTTTTCCAGCAGCAAAACTAGAAGAAAGAAAGTTTATGGGTATTGTCCTTGCTATAAAAAGTGACCTAGGAACACTATAGCAAGAGACAATATGTCAAATGAGAGAAGCACACAATATTTTTTAGCATCCATGTCTGCATAAACCCAAATACTCATAATTTCATTGATCAAAACTAAAAATAAATAAATAAGAGATTGCTAGACTACTCTTAAACCTACAAAGATGAGGATTCTTGATAGGATACTAACTTTTAGACAAGTGAATAACCAACTTGGACTCCAAAATTAAACCTAACTCCTAGAATAATTTAAACTTAACCCTATGATAGAGGTGACAAAATGAACTGAACCCGAAAGCCGACCTTAAAAAACCTGAATTCAAACCCATCCAAACTTGAATTGATAAAAAAGTCAAAGAACCGAACCACAAAATGATCCAAACCCGGAAATGACCTTAATCTGAGATTGGTCCAGCTCAAAGCCATAATAACTTGAACTTAACACTAAAAATGCAAAATTTAGTTACTAGTTTCATTCTAACCTGAACTCAAAACAGCCCTGAAGTCATTCTGGCCAGATCTGAACCTGCCCGTTTGTCTCCTCTACCCTATGGTGTAGAATGTGCAGAAATTATGATTCTGCCATTATAAAATAAAATTCTGAATTGCTAATACTGAAATTACAAATATGAAAGGAATAAAGTTTCTTCTGCCTTGCCTGCGGTGAGGAACTATAGGTCTTAATTTATTATTTACGATAAAAGTGTGATTTTGATGGTAAGATCTCATATTGAATTATGGAGAGCATCTGCAATCTATAAGAAAAATAAAATTCTTATCTCTTTTTGGGATGTATAGAATTATTTAGCATCTAGTTTCGAAAGTCCTTGGTCTCAGTCTCGCTACCAGTTAGTGCCTCAACTTGTCATGATGAAGCACAGGATAACTGGCATACTAAGGCTGTTCTCTTTTTTGTTGGACTTTCTTTCAAGTCACTTTATTTAGCTTGGCCATTTGATACTTACTCCTATTAGGAATTTTAGAATGGAGAAATGTATGCTCAACAATTCAGCCATTTTAAATCCCTTCTACTATCATGGTTAGGGTTTTGGAAGATTTTCATTGTTGATGATATAAAACTTCAATTTCGTAATATGGATTATGTTCAGTACCAATATTTAATGCACAAGAAGTTTCTTAAAGAGGCTTTATGTTCAAATTGAAGCTTTAATGACATATCTACTACAATTTAAGTTCTCTTTTTTAAAATAATTTTATATTTATTTCTATATATTTTGCAGAAACGAAGGATCCACAAAACTCCAGGGTGATTATCTTCTCAAATTTTAGAGGCAGTGTCAGGTGGAAAACATTTTTTATATTCTTTTTGTTTGACACTTTCAGTCCATAGTATCTCACCATCACTTGGTATAATTAAACTTGCATTCAGGGACATAATGAATGCACTAGCAAGTATTGGAGATTTAGTCAAAGCAACAGAGTTTATTGGTCAAAGCTCAGGTTTGCTGTTCTGTTCTTCTAGCTTTCCCTTTGAGTATGCTTCATCCGCTAAGAAACATTATTTTTTAGGTTAAAATTCTACCTTTCTGAAATCATTTGAAGCATCTAGGACAAGGTGCAAAAGTTTTGATGTAATGGTTGAATCAATGTTAAATGGTATTATTCCACATTCGTTAAGTTTGAGGTTTGTTGAGACCTAATATTTAGGTTATGTCCCTCCACTTACTATGAATTGTTTTAAGTTGGATGCTTTGTTATGGTTATCATAGCCAAAGTTATTTGTTGTCTAGCTTTTTGTTTGTTATTCGTCGTTTTATTGCACTGTATTCGTTGTCTACACACTGGCCATTTGTTTGTGATAGTTATTAGTATTGGGCCTACACATGAAAGGTAGTATTAAGTGGTGTTATCCTCAATTGGTCTTTCGGTTGGGTTTTCCACCTATTGCTAATTGGTTTTAGGTTGGATGCTTTACAAATGAACTATATGTTAACCATAGTCTCTTACAGGGAAAGCATTGAAAGGCCAGTCTCAAAAAGTTCAACAGGCAGTTTTGGAGGTAATTGTGTTTATTTTAGTGATTTTTTTTCTTGGTGATTTTGCCAATTCCCGTGATTGGCTTATTATGTTTGCTGACAGAAATTTCGAGCTGGTGGGTACAATGTTATTGTCGCCACATCAATTGGTGAAGAAGGCCTGGATATCATGGAAGTTGATCTTGTAATATGTTTTGATGCTAATGTTTCACCTTTGAGGATGATTCAGCGGATGGGGAGAACCGGAAGGAAGCATGAGGGACAAGTTGATATCCTTTTGATGTTTCATGATGCGTATATTAACAAGTGGGTGGCTTATGAGTTTAGTATTCTCATGATATAGCAAAAATTTGTATTTTTCTACTTTGTGATTTGATGGCTCTAAAAATCTGCCCCCCACCGCCAACAAAAAAACCAGAAAAAGTGAATGTGTATAATTCAAATACTTCCTTAACAAGTCATACTAGTTCTTGCTTGTCAAGGGTCAGAGCTAAAGGGTTATATGCGAAAGCAAGCTAACAGCCGGTCTATAAATAAACACATGCAAAATGGTGGAATGAATAGCTTCAATTTCCATTCCAGTCCAAGGATGGTGAGATCTATCTAAAGTCATTGGTCATGTTTTCTTGTTGCTTCAACTGCTACCTTATGACCCATATGTTCTTTTATCTTCTGTATGTAGGTTCCTCACATTTTCAAACCAGAAGTTCAATTTGTTGAGCTGTCAATTGAACAATTTGTTCCCCGTGGAAAAAAATTAAAAGAAGATCACACTGTTGAGACACCTCCATTTAGGGAAAAACTGTCTGTTGCAGAGTCTGATTTAATTGCCAAGTATTTCCATTCTACCAGTGAGAGCACTTGGAGACCTTCACTGATTGCCTTCCCTAACTTTCAAGCCTTTCCCTCCAAAGTATATAAAGTAATGCATTCTTGTAGAACAGAGATGCTGATAGATTCCATGCAATATTTGCAAGGTTTAACCTTTCCAGGAGGCAATGGGAATTTCTTTGTTGAGGTTCACACTGGAACTTTCTGGAATTGTTTTCCTTCCTACGTAACATCAATCTTGCTTATTTATTTATCTAATGGATTCAGGCTGAAGTCTCTTCAGGTGATTGCTTCGGAGTTGGCATCGTTGAGCAACATGACAGTAGCAGCAAAGGTAATATTGTCTTTAGCAGCATAGAAGGCTTTCTTGACAAATTTGTCTATGAGAAAGCTTATGTAATTAGCTAAGTTTGAGTACTTTTAGATTAAAATGTTTATAGGTTTTAGTAGATTTGAGATAGGAGGCATTGTTTACTTTTTTTTTTATTTCTCTTTTTCTCCTTCCTTTTTGGGAAAAGGAGAAACTTGGTCTAATTCAGTGATGAAACTGGGTCATAGATTCAGTATTTTGATCCCTTGTTTTCTTTTTCTTACTTTGTGAAAAAGAAATTAGCATCTGTTATTGATACAAATATTTTGACAAAATATTAATATAAAATATGAGATACCTGATTTTTTTTTTATTTTATAAATAGGCTTTCTTACTTATCATGAAATTACTTTTCTAGTACGGGCCATAAATGAACAATCAAGGTTGAGCAATTGTTTGCATTTTCTTATTCTCACCATATATCTCGTAGCTCTTATAGGTCATATGATTGAATTTGATTTTTTGAGTCTTAAACCTGATGACATAGTGATGTGCTGTTGAGATCTTTTCAATATAGTCTTCTTCTTTTCATTCCTCTTGCTTGTTCGTATTTGATTCTCTGGTTACAACATCAGGATGTTACTGAATTATGCTTGAAACAAATTACATCTGCATCGGTAACTTTTTGGTATTTAATGTCAAGGAACCTTTTTTCCCCATATATATTGGCTGCTTGCCTAACAGATACCAATAATGTCAGCAGTTAAAGTCTAACAGTAAACTGTTATTCCAGATTTGCTAGTTTTGGATAATTCTCCAGTTGCCAATGCTCAATTAGGAGTAACAGATTCTGCAGAATTGCCTATGAGGACTATAAGAACTAAGGAGAAGTATGATGAGCCAAATTCTGGATGCAAAAGTCCCCAAGAGCACTCCTACCTTTTTGGTTCTGATTTTGTATCTGTTGATGCTTTGGGAAAGGTCCTAATTATATCTGTTCCTTCACTTTATTTCGAAGATGTAATGCATTCTAAGCATGTAAGTCCTAGTACTAAAGAGTTGCAAAATTGTTTGAATCAAGAGACATACCATGTGAAGACTCCAGATGGAATTATGCAAACTGAAGCTGTTCCAAATGTAACAACTTCTCAGACAAAAAGCACGAAAGATGATACTCTACCAACACCTAGATTTTGTGAAACTGATTCTGAAAAAGAGAAAATGCTGGATGGAGTAGAAAAAATTCCTGGGACTCCAGGTGGCACTTGTGAAACACCTGATATTGAGGAAATCAAGGCACTGCCACCACTGGCTGATGAACATTGCCGTGATCTCCAAGATACTGAACTTAGTCCCCGTCTAACTAATTTGATCAAAATCGGTGTTGTTCCAGAGTCTCCTATAACTGATAGTGGTCAGTAGTTGTCCTTTTAGTTTTATACATTCTTAAGTTTGTCGAGCCAGAGTAACTAATTCTAGCTTGATAAACATGAATTTTTTTGCAGGGATTTTAAAGCACAAAATAAGAAATGAATCTTTAATTCCAGACCTAGCATCACCTGCCAAATTGGGCACTGAACTGCTATTGAGATCATCAAGTCCAGTGGAAAATGAAAGGGGCATTATGGACAATAGCCCCTATGGAAGAAATGTCTCTGTTATGAAAGACGAAATGACACCTCTAGTTAAGATGAACCCTGTTTCTAGTACAAAACATAGCCCTTCTTCTCCACTTGCGGAAACAAAAACTCCCTTGGCACACCTTACAAACAGTAGTGGTAGCAAAAGTTGGCGCTTAAATTCTGGAGAGGTTGCTACAGTCGAGCATGTCCAGAAGTTTAAAAGGTTGCGCAAAGTTGGGAATTGTGGAAAAGCTAGGAGCTCAAAAAGCATGAAGGAAAATTCTATTGTCTCGGTAGCAAACCTTGCCAAATCCTTTTCTGGTGCCAGTCCTATTCGAACAAAGCATGGCAGAGGTAATCTGTCATACATGGAATTATTTGATATTTCCAGTGCAGGGACTTTAAGTGGGACTTCTGTATTCCCCCAGTAGTTTTATCTCATGCTTGATTTGAAGCCTAGTTATTGTTTAGAGCTTAATCAGTTTAGAATGTTAAGAAAGAAAACTTATGTACAGGTTATTAATAAGGCCTGCTACCTGTTGTTTTCAGGTAAAAAGAAGCCAGAGAATGATGTCAGAACATTCATTGATGAGGAAGCCGAGTAAGTGCCTTGTTCAACTTCCATTTTTTTTTTTATGAAAAAAAAGAGGAGGAACAGTGCTAATTATTAGCACCAGAGGAAAGGCTTTCATATATTAGTTTGTTCTTCAACAATAATTGTACAATTAAATTCCATTAGATATAAAATGGATATCAAGTTTCCATATCAAAAGTTATTTGAGTGTGCATATTAAATGTCTTTCATGATGGCTGGTTAATTATTTTTTTATATATTTGTTAATCTTTTTGCTCAGGGTATCTACAGAAGCTGAAATATCTGCTGAAGAAGAAGATGATGACAATGAATCGTATGATGATAGTTTCATAGATGACAGGATAAATCCTACTGCTGGCAGTAACCAGACTGAATGTGGTAGAGTTGACATGATGGCAATTTACAGGTTGCTGACAGTTTTCTTCCCATTATTTCTGCCTTTTTCTTGAAATCCCCATGAGGTTTCCAGCATTCACCCTTAGAAACCATTAAATAAAAGTATTTTACTGTATTAAATAATTTCAGGTGGAACAGTCAGAAGAGACCTAAAATCTGCAAATCTGATACATTTTTTTTTTGGAAAATTATTAGCTGATGAACTGACATGATATGATAAAACTGGCATTAGATCTAAAGGGATGTGTTACCTCTTCTTCTTCTCTTTTTTTTCAGTTTATCTTTTCCAGCTCATGGAATTCTAAAGTTTCTCACAGTTAGAATAGTCCATATTTCTAGCAACGGAGTTACTTGTTTTATGTTCCTATTATGAATCACAAGCTATTTGTGGAGCATTCTAATGTGTCAATTAACAGATAAATGTACACTTATGTAGCTACTGCTTCAGATTGCTCCATCTAAATTTCAAAATCAAGTCCTTGCAGCAGGCTGGCTGACAGCCCACCGCAAGATTGAATGCTACAGAGAGCCACAGTTAATAGCTGGATTTTGAAGTACAGTTTTCCCAAGAAGGGATGTTGATTGATCATATATTCACGATTGTATGGGTGCTTTTCAATGTCAAAATTGAGGTTCTGTACTTTAGATTTGCAGACTGCCCGTTTTATTGGACTGGTTTCCATGTTCTTAGTTACATAGGCACGGTTGTGTATAAAGTAAGCCACATTAGGTGTTCAACATGATTTTTTTTTACAAGTATTATTGTTTTGTTTCCTAGTCTACTTGGTTATTCGACTTCCCAACCATGGATCCAATATGTAGTTCACTTTGCAAGTGAATTATGAATCTACCCATAAATTTAAAATAGCCTTGTTAAAATGTCATCCTTGTGTTTTTCCTCAATTCATCTTTTGGCTTTTTGCCATGCTGCAGCCTTAATGAACTAATTGCTCTTTTATTGCAGGCGTTCTTTGCTAAGCCAATCACCAATGGTGATGCAGTCAACTTCTTTTAGCCCTGACTGTGTAGCTTCCACGAGCAAAGACAATGGAAGTGGGTGTTCCTCGGGCAAGATGTTTAATTCTCTCCAGGTACCTCAACTTGAGTCCATAAATCAGCCTGCAAGGAAGTATACAGAGTCATTCCAAATGGAAGAGAGGATCTCCTCAGAATCCATGCCTTTTGGAACTAATGATTTTGCAATAGAAAATAAGAGTATGCAAAGTAGGAAGAGAAAGCTGAGTTTCTTCCAATTGGAGACTATTCCTGCAATTAACTTAGACCAAGAATTCTCTTTAGAATCTGAGGTTGGAGGCAAAGAATCAAGTAAGGCTTCTCAGCAGCCCCAAGTGGACAAAATCACTGTGAATGAGAATGAGTTTGATGATGATGATGATCAATTTTATGCTAGTCTTGATCTTGATGCTGTTGAGGCACAAGCTACCTTGCTTCTCAAACACCAGTCAGAGCCACCAATAGAGAAGCAAGAGAAAATTGTTCCACCAAACCTTCAGAATGGTGGGCTTCAGGGTTCTCCATCATTTGATCTAGGGATATGGTAATTGAGGCAAAACCCCTGTGAAACTGCTGCTAGAATATATCAGTACATGGAAATAATTTGTTGTAGCCACTTAGAAGTTAGATTAGAATTATTTTGGGGTCAGGATATAGGAAGATGTAGTGGGATATCTGGGCAATTGTATAAAATTTAATCAATTGTATAGTTTGTAGAGAGCTCCATGTCTAGAGAAACCAATGTATTTATGTACAGGTGATGCTGTCCTCTATTAAATTTGTTCAGAAAAAACATTGGTAGAACCAAGAATAGCATATTTATAATGTAAATTTCATGGCTGAGCATTTCTACTCTTCCAGTTTTTGACAGTGCCCAAACTCCCAGTCTCCATTTGTTTTAATTGGTGTGTTCGACTCTGCTACTGTTGCAGCTTGTAGCCCCTATCAGATGTCATACATACTAAGCTAATAGACACATAAGCACTTGGTAGAAACAGTGTCAGCAGGGAAAACCAAGTCAAGTTACTTGGGCCTGAAATCAGGAGGTGGAGCTTATCTTGTCTGGATAGGAAAAGGTGGAGATAGGCATTGGCATAATGCCTATAAATAAGAGGTGCCACAAACACAGTGCAGCACACTCCCAAGTCCTTGACCTTCAAGTGTTGTACATTACTTATTTTGTTATCCAGCTCTTAGTGAGTATTCTTGTTCAATTCATCCCCAGCAGCCTAGTTCAAAATTGACTTATTTTAGTTACATTTTTAATATGTTAGAATTGAACAAAAAATGCTCATTAAGAACTTGATACCAAAGTAGTTCATGTGGGCTAGGCAAACATCCTGCTTTGAAAATCAAGCATTTGAATAATTGAGCCTGAGAAAGCTCTACCTTTGTTATATGGATTAATTTGCCTTTAATATAATCCAACCCAATTGTGCATTTGTAAGAAATCCCAAAAAGAATATACCCTTTAAATAACAATTGACTAATGAAGTCACAGAGATTTTGAGACTACAGAGTGCAACTAGATGCTGCTTTTAGGGAGCTGCTGCCTTTGTCTTTCAGCACATCAGTTCTTATCAAGGATCTGAACCTGGAACCTAGTCCTTAAAAAAGTATAAACGCCTGTATAAGTCGGGTCCGTTTCATCATTAGAAATTTAGAATTTTTACTAGCACTGAAAGCACCACTTCATAGAAAACCGTCACACTAAACAAATGCAGTACATGAAGCTACTTCCTAGTAACAAAAATAGAGCTTCAGTGACTTGACAGTCAGACGGTAAGAATTACCCAAGCATCCTACAACAATTACAACCATCTCTACATTCCTACAGGTTAATGGTTAAAAACACATTTTTACAAGAGACATGCCCACCCAGAGTCACAACCAACCAAAGCCGAAAACTCTAGACGCAAATCCAAGATTAGGGAAAAAGGGGCCATGCCAAAACCTGACTAGCCTGAGCCAGACATGTATGACATGGCTCGCCGGAAATCTAAAGATTTCAGAGCGGAATCAGGGAAATGTTTTCCGTCTGCTACCCATAATCCACCTGCATGGGGCAGTAGAATCTGAGGTTGGTTATTTACTTGACCTTCTTCACCAGCTTTAGTGGATGAGACTTCCTTCTTTTTCTTCACAAATTCAAAAAACTCTGCTACTTGGCGTGCATACCTTCACCAAAGCCAGTTCAGGAACAAATTAAAAAAGCTCTAAAGGCACATGGGACATATGAACTGTTTAATGAAGACGTGGACATCAGCATATTAATATCTGAACTAAGAAAAACAAACGTTTAAAACCCAGAACCAAAAGTAGATAAATCAAGAAAAATATATACTTTTGAAGAGTAGACACAAACTAATAAGGGCACAAAACATTTACAAAAAACCGGAGGGGTATCGGATGCCAAGAGAACCGATGCACATAAAAATTTCTTTCTCTAATGTTCACATCATAGTGCAATAAGAAACTCTTAACAAATCACGAAGCTAATCTCTTAGACATTATTACCACTTGAGTGCCTAAAAGTTTAATATTTCAGCACAATTCTCAGGTCTATTGTCCTTGTATTGATTTCTTAGAATAGGAGACCTACATGCTCCTAGATAGGATATGATCAAAAGAGTCAACTCAAAATCATTCTGACTAGTATATCAAATTCCCAGCTTTCTGCTAAAAAAACATGCAAATCAAGGGTCGGGAAATGAAACAAATTAAAAAAACCAGGCCATTCACAATTGCCACTGAAGAAGCTCTTTTGTTTCTTTATTTCTTGGATAAGTAAGCAAAAGCTCATTTAATCTCCAACCCAGGCTTGGCCTAGCTATTGTTACCTCTCTTTAAGAGGGCTGAGACTAAGGTTCAATTCCTTCTGCCCCCTTAGTCTTCCGCAAATATACCCCCACCCTCACCCCCCAACACTGGTAAGAAAAAGAACCCTACCTATCAAGACAGCATTTGAAATTGTAGACATAATATTCTGTTCAAAGTTATCTTTTAATTAATTTGATGAAAACAGTAGGGATGTTATCTTACTGTCTCTTTGCTTCAATATCTCTGCTGAAATCAATGTTGGGTTCACAGTCAAGAACCAAAGCTGGAACCTGTTCATAAACAAAGAACCTAAGATAGAGTCTGAATGAGAGAAGCAATCTAAATTCCAAAAAAAAAGAAAGGAAATCATCATACCTTTTGAATGCTGGAATGCATATGATTACCCTCTAAATAGAACACTCGATCTCTAATATCCGGATGCAGAGAGCTATCCATATGGACAGGTAACTTACTAACAGACAGCACTCCATGATTTCCACTTTGGAATGGGAAAAGCCAACTCTCATGCTTTTCATGCAAGTCTCGAAGATAATCTAGGCTCACTCCACCCTCTTCTGCTCTCTTTCGCAGCATCATCCTCTTATGGCATGTATCGGGACTTGCCCTTAGATAAATAAAACCATCAGGAATAAGCCCCGGCAAGCATGATACAACTGGATCAAACCATGAGTCATAAATGCTGATCTCCATCTCATTCATCCAATTTGCTTCATGAACAGCTCGTACAAACACCTTAATTAAGTAAAAATGAGATAAAGTTGTCAGCCTTGAAACTCTTAGGTCAGGGCTTTCTTCCTCTTGATTGTAATGAACCAAAGGAGAAAGGAAGGAACTGCAAGGATTCAAATCTGATGACTTTGGTCATTGTTGAACAGACAAATGCATAGGAACTTCTAAAATCCTTTGTTTTTATATTGTGTCAAACCTATTTTAGATTCCTCAAAAGACACAAACTTAGATCAATGAAACTTGTGGGATATGCAAAACACGACAAAAATAAAGAGAAACTGTATTAACATATCATCATATCATCACAACCTGCAGAAAAAATAACAATAATAATAAGCTATTCAAATGCTTACCATCCTGTCACTGAAAACGCTCCTTTCCATCAACCTGAGTGGCTTAATTCCCCCAGATGACTCTCTCTCCTGCATAACCCTTGTAACAAAGACATAATTTTGAAAGGTATAGGCATACCTCTCTGGTTCAGCATAAAACGCATCTAATATATTGAAATGGTCAGGTCCAACATTCTGCCACTTATCAATGGGTTCTGGAACAATCTCAACAAGGTCACGTAGCTCCAGTGTTTCATTAGCTATTCTCTGAAGGAATGTTGTCTTTCCAACACTGATATTTCCTTCAACACAGAACGTTAAACGTTTCATTGCAGCTGGCTTTACATCAGAGTCTGAATCCTTCAGTTCTTCGTCCACACTCTCTTTAATAAAAGTTGTTATACTCTCTGCATGATTTCTGTGAATAATCCCAACAGAACTTTGTAAAAACTCAACCATCTTCTGACTAGCCTTCCCAAAAAACTGCAAAAAAGGTAAAGCCCAGATCAGCAAACAATCTCATCAAAGCATCACAGAAAAAACTATGGTTTCCTCCATGCACATGAAAACAAAAGTTTGCACAAGATTTTTCAACCAATTTACTCAAAACGCTGTTCTTCATGTTTAGGCACTTACAACCATTTGAACTATTTTGGATCCAGATTGGGTTCCCCTCCATTACTTGCCAATACAACCATCATCATTCAAACATGTAGGACCCACCCATGAATTGTGAAAGTCATACCTGTGAACGGTGATTAAAGGTGTAGTGAAAAGTTTTGCGTAGAAAAGTAACGGAGGGGAGTCGGACCCTTTGGATACAATCATCTAAACTTGGCACTTTTTTGGTCCTGGAAAATGAGAATCCACACTTCATTTCTTATTATAACAGGCATACTTGGAAATTACTTTCATAAAACAATATAACCAATTCGCATTTACACTTCTTATTGCGAGCACATCAATAAAACAACACATGCCATCAGCATGTACAAAGTTTATACAATAACTTTATAGTATGGGAGAAAGGACTTGGAAGCTCGAAAGAGGCAGATGTATGCAACGGAGAAACGAATCTACACAGTGAAGTGGAGAAGATACTCCAAACAAAAGCTCTGGAAACACAAATATTAAATAAATAAATGTACCCATTTTCTGAAATATTACAAGGAACAAAATAATCAGAAAAATAAGCAAAAACCAGTCCAGACAATGGGGAAGTATAACCAACAGACCCCTTTTAGCTTCAAAGATGCCCATGAAAAACTGCAAAAGAAAACCTCTAAAACTAAATACTTTAACCCAACAAAAACCACCATCTATCTCAATTTTTGACATCATCAGAATAAAGATATAAAACTAAAAGCACATTAAAATCCTAAATCCCAACTCAAATTTACACTATTCAATCCAAATAATGTCTACAACAAAAATTCCAAAAAAATAAAAAAGAATAAAACCTTATCCTTGTACAACTGCTTGAGCTCGGCAACACCCTGAATCCCATTCTCAACGAGCTTCCTCAAATTTCTAGGTCCTACACCTGGAATTGTCAACAAATCCGGACTCCCCACTAAAACCCCTGAACCCTTTTGCCTTCTATTCAGCCTCATCGGCTTCCCTTCCTCTGCTTTCTCTTCTTCATCACCCAAACTCTTCGACCCTTCAACGGGACCCAAAGCCTCCTCTATACCACCCGAATGGCACCAAGCTGGCCGAATCCCAATCCTCCCAGGCCAAGCCCGTAGATGGGTTCTTGCATTTGAGCAGGGCTGGTAAATACTACAAGTAGTGGTAGTGTAGAACCGCCGGGAAAAAGAAGGGTTTTTGTTGGTACGAGCGGCGGCAGCGGCGAGGGCTAAGCCACTGCCAGAGAGAGCAGCAGTGGGCATCGCAAAAAGGGTACCGTTAGTCGCAGCAAAGGAGAAAGGAAGAGAAAGAGAAAGAGAAAGAAAAGGAAGAGAGGGTTTAATGGAAGAAGTACAAAGAAGTGGAAGGCCAGAATGGCTTCTTCGTATCAGATTCTGCATCCC